GGGGTGGGGGGCGCTGAGGCTCGGCAGCTTTGAGGGGCAGCCAGGAGGGAGCCGGGCCCCAGGGGCTGTGCTCTCGGCCTCCCCAGGCGGGCGGAAGCTCTCGGGGGAAGGAGGACCTCGGGGCTCTGGGAAACGACTCAGAAACCGAGGGAAATGGAACAAACGAAACTCTGCGGGGTCCACAGGGCAGCGAGGCCTCACCTGCTCACGTGTGTGTCTGATTTATTTCACGTAACATCATGTTTTCAAGTTACACCCATTTGCCTGGAAGTGACTTGAGTTCGCCCTTCTTTAGGTCAGAGTAGTATACTACTCTGTAAACATTTTTTCTTTATCCAGTCATCTGTTGGTGGACATAGAGGCTGTTGACAAGACTTAGCTATGATGAATGGTACTGCTATAAACATTAGCATGCATGTATCATTGTACAATGATTTCTTCGACTCTTTCCGGAAGATACCAGCTGTTTTCCAGCTGTGCCCAGTCTAGGTCACAGAAAGGCTCTAAACGGTGCCTTGCATCCATTCTGACATAATGACTCCCCCTAAATCCTGCATTTGTTTTGCTCTTTTTCGTAGGATTAATTACTTTCTGAGTTGCACAATAAGTTTTGTCTATTGTCTATTTTCACTACGTTCCAGAAGAGATACAAAGTTCTCACCCTATATGAGGCTAGGGACCTTTTTTTTTTCAAGGCCGAAGCTCAGCACCTACAAAAGTTCTTGGCAGTTGATAGGACTCAGTAATATTTGTTGAACAAATGAATGAATGAATGGCTTGATGACCAAGCTTTCAGAGGAAATTCTCACCGTATTACATGATTGTGACCATTATCATCAATGAGGGAAAGACGCAGAGGCACAGGGAGACTGGTTTTGTACATGAATATTGCACACAAATGTATGAGTGAGAGACTTGGACAGTACAATGAAGATCATCTAGGCTAACTCTGTCATGTTATAGAGAAGTGGAAAAAGGGGAGAGTGAGAGTTGGGGAGTTTAAAATGGTATGGTTACTTAACTGCTGAACCAGAGCTAGTGCCCCTGCGCCTTGGCTGTCTGACCAGTCTTATTTCCTTCCCTACACATTCTTATATTTGTTTTCAGTAGGCGAGTATGGACCCAAAAAAAATCCTTTCAGTATCTCTTACTTTCAACTTTCTCTTTTGACTTTCTTGCTTTTGAGTGAAAAAAAAAAATCTATGCAAATAGCACTAAAGTAATTGGAACAGATTTTGAATGTTTCCTCATGTCAGAGTTTATTTGCAAAGTTTTACTCTAGAGGAAAGAGATACCACGGGGAAGTTGATCCCTTGATTACAGTATGTGGCTTTATGTATTATAAATAGTTCAGACATCTCAGCATTTAGTCACAGCCCTTGGACAATCGATGGTTGGGTAGATTTTCTCAACAAAACAGATCTAAATATATTCTTTTCATGAATCGCATTTATTCCTTATGTTATAAATCCAAATATTAAACTTGATACAGATTCCCTGCATTTATCTTTTACTTTATGATTCATGTTAGCCATCATCTAATTTGTTTTCTCACAGCTCCCAGAACCACTGATGACTTTTTTTTTCCTTGAGGACAAAGTGAGATTCTTGAATTGCAGTAGCAACCATCTCCTAGAACCATCAAAAGCTTAATATTATGGAACGAGCACTAAATTCTGGGCCAGTGGCCTGGCAAACAACTGGTGTGTAGCTTTGGGAAGCAAGTTAAACTCTCTCAGCTGCTATTACCTGATCTGCAGTCAGGAGTTTGGGTAAAACCCTCTCTGGATTCTTTTCAGCACCGCTCAGAGGGCTCAGGTGACTGATCTGGACTCTGCTCCCTGGGGCTCTGTGTGAGGAACTAGGTTGTGAGGGAATATTAGCCAGGAAACCTTACTTGCTCAGGGATAGGATTTGCAGAGAGGAATGCAATGCAATGCTGCTGCCCACTGCCCAGCCCAGTTCATGAGACCAGAGTTACATAAACAAGTCCATGAGCAAGGGTCTACTGCTGCAGGTGGGCTAACTCCACACTGAATTGGAGACTGTTTTGAGCAGATCTGAAATCCATGCGGTGCAGTTACTTGTTCCAAGGCAGAGCAAAACCACACCACTCCTCCAGCCTAAAGGTAAGAGCTGTGCCCAGAAGCAAAGTGCGAAGTTTCGAGGCAACCATAGGATGTTCTTCAAGGTTATTTTCACTTAGAGCTATGTGGAATCATCTGTGCAAAGAGATGGTTGGGTTTGATGATGGGGGAGTGAACAGAGGAATGAATTAAATTACTAAATTTTTGGAGACAGTCTCACTATGTAGCCCAGGGTGTCCTCAGACTTGCAATCTTCCTTCATCAGCCTCCTGAGTGCTGAGATTACAGGAACAAGCACCACCAGACCTGGCTGAAACTGATATTTTTGTATTGCATCAGAATACAGTAGCATAAAATTTAGTTTGGAGATCCTGTGAGGTGCCATTTGGTAATCACTAAGTGGGAGCTCATGCTTGGCCTAGAGATTACTTACTCCTCCCAACTCGGTCACATCAGCCCCTCCGAGGGCCTCACTCTATTTTCTAACAGTTGTCTACATTGCATAATTGCACTCTGGTTCTAAGGCCAGCAGATTACTCGATGAAGACTCTGGTGGTCGTGTGCTGACTGGTGATTTTACACACTGTTTCCTTGTTCTTTTCCATGCTTTAGACAAGGCAGCTTTATGGGGAGGGGGCACATGTATTTTTCCTGCATTTTTCACCCGCCTACAAGGACAGACAGGAGGGCTGAAAGAGCGGGGCCGCAGAGAGCAACGTGTGTATAAATATACTGATGACAGAAAAGGAAAAGCTGGCTTTTTTCAAAGGGCTGTCAGGGAGATGAACCTGGGAATACCAGTCCCACATGATTACCCCCTTATCTCTTCATGATGTTCCAACTGTTTTTAGTATATTCCCTTAATTTCCATGAAGAGTCAAATAGATCAAATGGAAAAGTTACAGCGAATCCTTTACTTTGTATAATTAATATGTGCTGATAAAAACAGATTTGATCCCAGGCTCAAATAAGAGGTTTGTGTAGGCAACTAAACTATACTTTTGACTTTTAGCAAAAGGTCATATTTAATGGGAGCTGTTCATGAGTGTGTTATTTTATGCCTTCTGTCGACTAACAGCATACGGTGTTGAGTAGAGAGCATGGGGTCTGTGGTTAGGCTTTCTGGTGTGAAATTCTGGCTCCACTGCTATTACCTGCATCCTCTTAATTCATTTCTCTGTGTTTCTACTTCTTTGTATGTAAGAAAAGGATGATAAGAAGTAGACCCACTTCACAGTTTAGTGCATATAAACATTTATAAAGCTTGTGGAATATAGTACGTACTATTGAAATGGTAACTCTTACCATTTGCCAAAATGCAAATAAAGGCAAATATTTAAGAAAAATATTAAGGAGAATGTACAATACTAGAATAGTATGCTTCTTGGTAGGTATAGAACAAAACAATCTGTGAATTTCTAGGAGAGCAAAATGATCATGTAAAATAGCACAGAAAATGCAGGACATTTTATTCCTGCAGGAGGGACAGAGGGCATCTTGGATTAGGAGGTGATGGAGAAACTTTGAGAGATGAGCGCCCAAAGTACAGCCCCAAACCCTAAGTGTCACCACTTCACTTGAACGTGAATACTGAGGTTTTAGGTTAGGAAAAATAGCTCATACATTAACATCTTTTGTCTTAAAACAAAAACAAATAGCACATGTGCCATAGGGTTGCCACTGCTGCTATAGAGTTGTTCATTTGGGGAATGACAGTAGGGATGTTAAGACAGGCTGTGGATCAGTTCAGGAACAACCTTCAATTCCAGGCTAAGAGCATGAGAGTTTACACTCAGGCCATGGGGAAGATTGGTAGTTTTTTATGCACAGGTTTGATACCATGATATTGGTGTGTAGAAAATGACTAAAGTATTCTTCCAAAACTCAGAGAAGACAACAAGTGGTTGGCATGATTAAGTCCAGCCTCGCTGAACAAACTGGGCTGGACTGGCTGGGAAGGTGGGTAGGACTGGAAGGGATGAGGGAGGACATTTCTCGGGGAGGACAGGGGACCCTGACTTGATAGAAGGAATCTAAGTTTAGTGGGTAGGAGGGTGAATTGTTGACTCGGCTGAGATTCTGAAGGTCATTAAAATCAAGTTAGAGAAACTGAGGGCCGCTCCGCTTATTCCTAAGCAGTAGAGTGAAAATGTTCAAAGGAAAAGGGGAAATGGGGGGGGGCTGAAGAAAATAAGGTAGAAACAGAAGTAGAGCCACAGTATACCCGGAGCAGTGGAGGGTTGAAGGGAGGGCAGTGGACTGGGAGAAAAAATAAGAACCAAGCTAAATGAGGCACAGATTCCCAATGATGAATGTGATCATAAGGTATACCTAAAATGTACCAATAAATTCCATAAATATTTTTAAATCAACATCTGAAGGACAAACACACCTCATTCATTTTTTAGTATGTTTATAGGGGTCATATATTTTTCTTAAAGATAAGCTTTAGAATAATTTTACCAATTTCTAGAGAAAAATTCCATTGGATTTTTGTTGAGAATGCATATATTGTGAGATTAATTTAGGGAAAATTGACCTTATGGAAAATTTAAAGCATAATTCGTTATCTAACATGACTTTGCAAATTTTTCGTGGTGATATACATGCATATTTTCCAATTAATATATTTATTTTCATGTTCCTTAAGTATAGTTTTATGATTCTCTCTGTGAAAATTCCACATTTCAAAAACTACATTTTAAAGAGTTTAGTACCTATTTTAGATGAAATATTTTTCAACTGCTAATTGAGCATTCCTCTGGACTTCCTATCATGGCTAGAGGTTTTCGGTTTTATTTTTGGTCTTCTTCCCTAGATTTCTATGGGGGGTGGTCCTTACAAGTAACAGAGGTTAGTCTCTTGGCTATCAAGGGCTCACTGGATCACAGCATGGATTAAAAAGTTGAGGATCACAAATGCTCTGTGCATCTCTGGGGTGCTCTGAGCTCCACCATTTTTGTTGCTCTGGAATTCATACTTCTCAAGATGTGATTCCGTGACTTTATTTAAAGCTCCAGTTCAGCATGAGCCCTTTCTTTGTATCTTTTCACACTGCTGACTTTTGTTTCCAGGGTTGGGCCTGTTCCTTATAGTGGGGATTACATTTTCACTTCTACAGAAGTACATTTTTGAGACACTTGTGCATGAATGAACAGGTGGGGAAAATGACAGAGATAAGTTTTATACCAATGTGAATCAAAGTGTCCCAATTTTTCCATCTCACTTCTCATGATTTGCATGTGGTGAAAACATAATATTAGTAAGGGCCCCGTCATCTACAGATATTTTAGAGTTATATTCAGTCATTACCTTGAGGTAGGGATTGTGATCTATGTTTCTTTTGTAGGATCTGGCAGGTGTTTAGATACATAAGACGTTCTCACGGAGTATCTTCTTTCAGGTGAGTAACTTAGAGAGAAATCCTCACTTTCACTATTATATTAATTCTGGTTATTGCAGTCTTTGCTATGATTTAGCTGGGCCCCCATGATTCACAACTTAGAAATGTAGCACTAAAGGCCACATTTTAATAGTATTTGGAGATAAGACCTTTAGAAAGTGGCTGGGTGATGAGAGCATGGACCGCATGAGTGGCTTAATCTGTTGGGTTCATGGGAACATTCTTTTTAAGGGAGTCCTCTCTGGCACGCATGCTCTGTCCTACCTTGTAATGCCTTCCACTGTTCTGGGATCCTGTTGGGAGGCCATCACTAGTGCTGAACACAGGCCTGTGGCCTGCTGCAGGACTTCCTGGCACCCTGCACTGTAGACTGACTAACCTCGACTCTATCGTTTTCCCAGTCTGCAGTATTCAGTGTAGCAACAGAAAATGGACTAAGACATTCCGTGATGCTTGGCTAGGTAAAGAAAATGAGGACTACAGGAACAGAAGTAGGTGAAGGGATTTTCAACTAGACAGCACTATCAAAATGCAGGGAAAATAATATAAATATGGACTACTAACTTGAGTGTCTCTCTGGTCCAAAGTGCCTTGTAGGCAGATCCTTGGACTGAAAGGCAGAAACACTGAGTCCCAGAATTTACCACTATCTGTGTGAACATTTTTCTGCTCATTTATTTTCTATTATTAGATAAAACACTAAACTAATTTAAGGTGCTAGAGTGATAGTATTTAATGCTGAATGAGAACACACTAGGCAAATGCATGATTGAGTGGCAAATGGATGAAACTCTCAACTGCCCTATAAATGAAGTGACTCAGTGCCAGGACCTTTGATTCTTTGCAGGCTTTCAACACCCAGCTTCCAGCACCCCTGAGCTAAGTCCATGGCCAGCAAAAATAACTTGACAGAGCTGGTCATCACTGGGTTTTTTTGGGGTACAGAGGTGCAGAGAGCATGCTTTGTGCTCTTCCTGCCCGTCTACCTGGCCACACTGCTGGGCAACGGCCTCATCGTCCTGACGGTCAGTGTCAGTCAGAGCCTGCACTCCCCCATGTACTTCTTCCTGGGCTACCTGTCCCTGGTGGAGATCTGCTACTCCTCCACTGTGGTGCCCAAGTTCATCGCGGACCTGCTCGCCAAGGTCAAAACCATCTCCTTCCAGGGCTGCCTGGCTCAGATATTCTTCTTCCACTTCTTTGGGGTCATCGAGAGCCTCCTGCTGGTGGCGATGGCCTATGACCACTACGTGGCCATCTGCAAGCCCCTTCACTATATGAGCATGATGAGCCGCCAACTGTGTCGCCTCCTGGTGGTCGGTTCCTGGCTGGGGGGCTTTCTTCACTCCATCATTCAGATTCTCATCACCATCCCGCTGCCCTTCTGTGGCCCCAATGTGATTGACCACTACTTCTGTGACCTCCACCCCTTATTCAAGCTGGCCTGCACCGACACTTTTATGGTAGGAATTATTATATTTGTCAACAGTGGAATCATCTCCATCTTCTCCCTCATGATCTTGCTATGCTCCTACATCGTCATCCTGCTCAGCCTGAGGAACCATTCTGCGGAGGGGAGGCGCAAGGCCCTCTCCACCTGTGCAGCTCACATCACGGTGGTTGTCTTGTTTTTCGGACCCGCCACCTTCCTCTACTTACGTCCCGCCTCCACCTACACCGAGGACAAGCTGGTGGCTGTGTTCTACACGGTCATCACTCCCATGCTGAACCCCATCATCTACACACTCAGAAATGCGGAGGTGAAAATCGCCATCAGGAAGTTGTGGAGCAAAAAGACACAAATGGAGTGAAGGAGTCTTGAAGGGATGAAGGGTGTTTGAAGGAGCAGTCTGCAGCTGAAATACATCTTGTGTTTTCTGAGATGTTCAAGACCAGGAACAGCCAACATGAGGATACACTTTCCCCACTGCTGTGATTCCTCCAAATAACCAACTCCCCTAGTCTCCCAGAACACCATTCCAAGGACAGTTTAGATAATTCCCACACAGTCTTACGGGGCCTGATGGGCCCCATGATATCCAACAATATCATGAGTTTAGGTAAACCAAATGCAAATGGAAAGGACATTTTTAAAAGTATGATTTGCTTTTCATTGATACATAGTAATTGTACATATTTATAGAATACAATATGGTATTTCAATACATGTATAGAAGGCTTAATGATCAGACTGGGTAATTAGCATATCCATCTCCACAGGCTTTTAGGGTCTCTTTGCATGTGGAAAATTCAATGTCCTCCCTCCTTGCTGTTGTGAAATGTTTAAATAATTGTTTTCACTCATAGTTATACTGCCATGGTATATGACATAGGGATCCGGTCCTCCTATCCAACTACATCCAGTAGAAAGGAGAATATTGTGAAAGATGTTTGGTGTGTTGAAATTTGTTCTTCCTTTGTTCTCCTGTGTGTTTAACCCCTCTCGGGATACGAACTACTACTGAATTAAAATAAGAAAAGAATAATGAGGGGCCAGGGATTTAGCTCAGTGGTGCCGCCGCCTGTCTCACAAGCAGAAAGTCCCAAGGTTAATCCTGAGTACCAAAAAAGAAAAAAGAAAAAAAAACAATAGTGAGAAGGCTTAGAGAGTGAGGTTATCAGTTTGCTTTTCTCTTCTAATATGAAAGAGTGTATTTTTGGGTTTTAAACCTTAGGAGTTTTGTATTCTCACTGTTTCTTGTAGTCTTGAGCCATAGACCACCCAACCATGTTCTTTAGACTACTTAGGGAAGCAATTTCAGTTTTTGTGACATATTGGCACATAAGATAGTCTCTGGGAATGAATGTAGTCATTAGAAAGCAAGCATGTACTAATAAAAATTTTTAAATTTTTGGCCTTCTACTAATGTCCAGCATTGAATAACAATGATACAGTACTATAATAACAAATAATATCATAATTATCTGAATTGTAATTGTCAATAGGTATGATGAAGTCAAAGTTTTCACAAAACAGAGAAAAGTTCACCCTGTCCAGTCATAAGAACACAGAGTGCTCACATCACCTGTGGCCCTTTCTTGAAGAGTGGGTTAACACTGCCATGTGTTTCCCCCCCCAGACCTCTGTCCCTCCTGGTTAGTGACTGGCCGAGTGCACTTGTTTGCCTGCCTGCTGCTGCCTCCAGGAGAAGGAGATGACACAGTCCATGTCGATGTTGTTCCCCCTCAGAGTCTCCACGTCACCCGCTGTCCCACATCACTGCGAACACTTTAGAGAACATCATGCAATTGGCCCCTGGTGGCTTTGAATTTACAGAGTTGCACTGGGTGCAACTGATTTGTGCTGGGTGGAGACACATTTTTTTGAGGAACAGCTGAAATAATGCAGGCAGCTTCTGTGGCAGAGAGACGGAGCATCCCTGGGGTGACACAGCCGTAGGGAATTGTCCCTTTCTCCTCTGGGTGCTGGCTCAACTTGCAGTTGAAACCTGGTTGTAAGAGCAGTAGGAACCTCCTTTGATTCCTTAGATTCTCTATTAGTCACGTGCATGGATAACCACAATTAATCCCTGAGGAAATGTTGTATTTTGTGCCTGGAATGACATTAACTCCCTTTTCTGTGTAGCAAAAACACTAAACATCTTATGTTAAAATCACCTTGAGATTATACTCTCCATAGAAGACTAAAAATTCCACCAAAGACTCCTAGATTTAAAAACTAAATTCAGTAGCATAGCAGGATACAAAGTCAACACTCAAAAAACAATAACATTCCTGTATACAAATAACAGACTCACTGAGAGAGAAATGAGAGAAAACACACCAAAAATTACATCTAAATAAATGAAACACTTAAGAATCAGTCTAACGAAGGAAGTAAAAGACCTTTACACTGACAGTGCTCTGAAAAAGAAGATTGAAGAGGGTATCAGAAAATGGAAAAACATCCCTTGCTCTTGTATAGGAAAAGCCAACATAGTGAAAATGTGCATACCTGCAAAACTATTATACAGATTTAATGCAATCCTGATTGAAATACCAATAGCATACCTTACAGAACTAGAGAAAACAGTCCTAAAATTAAAATGGAACCTCTATGAACTAGGATTAGAGGTTCCATGTGCCCCAGCCGTCCCTCTGCTGGATATCTTTCCAAAAGAATTAAAAGAATCATATCACAGTGATATATGCATACCTATGTTTATAGCAGCACAGTTTGTAATAGCTAAAACTGGGAAACAGCCCATTTGCCCATCAGTTGGAAACTGGATAAAGAAGATGTGGTTTCTCTATAAAATAGAATACTACTCAGTCACAAAGAATGAGAAATTAGAGTCACTCATAGGAAAATGGAAGCATATGGAGGTTATACTCTTAAGTGAAATAAATAAGTCACACATGTGTAATTACCAAATAGTTTCTCTGATGCAAAAAACTATAATTGTAAATAAGATCTTAATGGTATAATTGATAATGTGTAATAGGAATAAAAGGGCTAAAGGTGTAGGGGAAGTGGGAAGGGTAGGGTAAATGAAATAAGAGAAAACAAAAAAGTATGAGAAAATGAAAAAAATGGAAATAAAGTTTTTGTAAATACGGAAAGGAGGAGAGGGTGAAGGGAGGGTAGGAGTATGGGGAAAAAATGAGAACCAAGACCTGTCTTGTAAAGGTACGAGAGCCCAATGAGGAATGTAACTGTACTGTATACCTAAAATGTACCAATAAACTCAATGAGGAAAAAAATAAAATAAAATATTGGTGCTTACACAGCTCTTAGTGTAGCATCTGAAGCAAAAAAAAAATATGGAACCAGAAGAGATCTAGACTAGCAAAAGCAATTCTGGGGCAACAAAGGTAAGGCACTTGGTATGACAATCCCTGACTTGAAATGATGCTACAAAGCTACTGTGAAAAACAGCATGGTGCTCACAAAGCAACAACAACAACAATATTTAAAAAACAGACCTGAGAATCAATGGAATAGATTAGGAGATTCAGACACAACCCCAAAGTCACTCAGCCACCTTGCCTTCTACAAAGGGGTAAAACACCTACTCTGGAATGAAGTTAGCTTCTTTAATAAATGGTGCTGGGAAAATAGCTTTCAATATGCCAAGGATTAAAATTAGACCCATATCTTTCACCAAACTAAAATCAAAGTGGATCAAAGATCTAAATATTAAAACAGAAACATTAAATCTACTGGAAGAGAGAATAGGTGGAACTCTTGAAGACACAGGTATAGGCAAATCCTTTAAAAACAAAACCCTGATTACACAGAAATACTACAAAGACTCAACAACTGCAATCTCCTCATGTTAGAAAGCTTTTTCGCAGCAAATATATCACCAACAGAGTGAAGAGACAAAATTTTTTTATCTAGACTACATAACAAAGAAACAAGACTCCCCAAATTTAAAGACCCAATCCTAAATTTCCATCTGAATTAAATAAACAATTCTTGGATAAACTACAGACAGCAAATAAATATATATATAAAAAGTTCAACATCACTGGCCAATTGATAAATTCAAATTAAAACAACATTGAGAATCCATCTTACTCCATAAAGAATAGTTATCATCAAGAAATCAACCAATTACAAATGCTGGCGATGCCGCGAGAAAAAAAAAAAAAACTTTTCCACTTCTGGTGGGAGTGTAAATTGGTACAACCAATGTGTAAATCTATATGAAAATTCCTCAAAAAATCTGAAACTAGAGGTTCCATGTGACTCAGCCATTTCCCTTCTTGGTATCTTCCCAAAAGAGTTAAAAGCATGATACCACAGTGACATATGCACACCCGTGTTTATAGCAGCACCATTTGTAATAGCTAAATCTTGGCAACAGCCCAAATGCCCATCAATGGATTAACAGATAAAGAAAATGTGGTTTTTGTATACAGCGGAGTACTACTCTGCCATACAGAAAGATAAACTTGAGACATTTTGGGTAAATGGATGTATCTTCAGACCATACTTTTAAGGGAAACAAGTTGGACACATATTTTTAAATATCACATTGCTTCTCTTATGAGAGAAATAAAAATGGTAAACAAAGAGCAAAATGGATGCTATATATTGGGAAGTAGGCAATACATGTTCAAATGGTAAGTAGAACAAGGAAAGGAGGATGGGAAGGAAGGGAGAAGAAAATAAATGGAAATAAAGATTCCATAAATAAGGAGGGGCACAAGAGTCAAAGAGAGAGGATGGGAACAGGGGAAAAAAAGAAGAATCAAGATATATTGTATATAGGTATAAATTCTCTACAATGAATGTGATCCTTATGTGTATCAAAAGTATACTCAGTGGCACCATGCCTGAATCACAAGCAAAAGGTCATGAGTTTAATTGCAGGTACCAAAAAAAAAAAAAGTACACCAATGAAATTAACATTTTTTAAAAAGCTTTTGCAGTCATTGTTAATTGGGCTAGTGTGCTGAACCCCAAAATCAAAGTGAATGTAATTACCCTTGCAGATATCATTCTGATTTATAGTGTTAAGGGATCAGAGGGAAAAACTGTAGAATATTCCTCCTCCCCTATATATTTGAAAATAAAAAGTCTTATAAGGGTGTCTAAGAGGTAGTCCTTGAGACACCTCAAATCTGGTTTACTTTAAAATCTTGCTAGAAGGAGGGACTTCTGGAAAATGGCAGGGTGTTGGACAGCAGAAAAAACATCACTCTGAGGTTTGGTTTCAGACTTTGGAATATAGCAATTTGAGAAGGAGAGAAGGGAAAAAAGTGGGTCACAGGACACAGGAAGCACCTAGGGTAAGACCTGAAGCCCACAGGGAGAGTAAGGAGAGAGACTTCAATGAAAAAGAAGGAGGTGTAAAGCAAT